GTGTTTAATTTTGTTGTAAAAATTGCTGAGATGTGTCAGTGAAATAACATTTTTGTTATTGTCGTGTATACCACTGCATTTTGAAGTTGAACCTGTATATGAACTGCATCTGCAGATGATCTTAAATTTTGTATAAAGTTCAAAATTTGACTGTTATATTCCTGGCACTCTAAATTTATACAGCATTTTGGAAAATCCTGACTTTAATTTCCGATGTATCCGAAATTTAAGCTCTAAACCTGGATGCGGAATAAAAATATGGAGAATGTAGGGTGTAAATAAGATCTCTTTATGTTAAGCCTATTAATGCCGACAAAGACCAGCAGCCAAGTAACCAAAATTGAAGAAGCGAAAATACCAATAAGACATTAAGTGGAAATTTCTTATAATTTCGACGTTGAACTACTTACAGACGGATGTACATACTGGTGAAAACCTGACATTCAAGCAGCTTCGAGATAAATCTTACAGTTTCGCTAATGCTCTCAAACTACTGGGTGCTAAAAAAGACGATATTGTGATTGTATGCCTGAAAAACTGTTATCATTATGCTGTCATCTTTCTGGGTAGTGCGCTCGTCGGATGCTCCATATCAGGCATCCATCCGGAATCCACCCTACGTAATCTTTTCAGAAATGTAGACTCCTAGACATATATCTACACATGTTTGCGAAATATTTGGACTCCTTTTCGAGAATAGGATTGTTGTGTACGATTCCTCCTTGGTCGGAACCTCTTAAATTTCCTAAGAAATTGATTAACATGAAAAATTGGAGATGATATGTGACTAGATCCCAAAAATCTAAAATGCATTCATATAAATAAAATATTTTTCTCTTTATAATATGATTTAGAGAAAATTTAGATGAGCTTGAAAAAGCTCTGAGCTTAACAAGTGCCAAATATCTGGTTGTGTCATCTCATAACTATCACATCGCCATCAATTCTCCTATGCAATGCGAGGTTTCCTGTTTTCATTTTATTTTTATAATTGGAAATTAAAAGATTATAACAAAATTGCATTGCTTTAATGAAAATTATATAAATGATTCTATAGAAGAAGACATGACTTGCGAAATACCAGAGGAATACTATGCATCAATTAAAATTAATAGGCTATTTCTGGAGTTCATCACGAAATTTCAGGATGCAAACTTTCTTTTTTACTTTTTCATAGCAATCAGTTGTTGGCAAGAGCTTGAAATACGCCTAGATATAGTAAATGGAAGTTTCGTGCAAGAGTAGATCACGTTATCGAGACTAAAACTGTGTAGACTGAACTACTGATCGTTTTAATTAATAGTATGGTCTACGATTGGCATTATGAATGTCCTTCCAATGGTCATATCCGATATCGAGAAATGGGTTATGAAGAATACCAACAGATATGATACGTTCCAGATAATTACAAATGAAATTTCCTATAAATGTAGCACAATTTACACTCGTTTTCTTTCCCAGATATGTCTCCATTTCATTTCAGTTAATAGTTGTGGACAAACATTTTGCTCAATTTGGGAAGGATTTCGATAGTTTGATCAAAAAATGGGAGCATACTTCAGTTGATCCCAGTGAGAAAGACATTACTCTGGATGACATACTGTTAACACCTTTTAGTAGTGGTACTACTGGATCAGCGAAATGTGTCCAACTAACTCACCGTAATTTCAACCTTGCAACTGCTACTCTCAAACAGTAAGCTAATGAAATGTCATCCATATTGAGTAAAGAGTAAACACATTCTGTTTACTTCTTACTGAAATACTAATTTTATGTAAATTCATTGAATAATCCTTCTCTTATGATTCTTAAAATTATTTCTTGTTTAGAAGGACGTTCGTTAAAGTTCTCCCTCTTCTTTTTCCCTTCTTTTTTTTCTTCTTTTTTTCTGCCTCTATCAATTTTTCGGCTTCCGAAAAAGCCAAAAAGAAAGAACAAATTACTTGGCTGTATATTTGAGTGAGTTTTTGGCCAAAAAACCTGAATGAGTTGCATATTTGTTCGTTTTCCAGGGCCTTATTTGACAAGTTATCAGAAGGCCGTCGACGTGTAACTATTGGCGCATTACCGTTTTATCATGGTTCCGGATTCTGGGCATTATGTTATTGCTTACTGGAAGGACATCAAACCATTATAATGGAACATTTCCATCCTGCAATAATGTTAAATTGTATTGAGAATTATAAAGTACATTTAAATCCTTTTAAAAATTATTTCAACAACAAGTATTTGATAAAATTATCATTCTAAAGATACTTTATGTCACCGAATGAAACCATAACAAGTTTACCTTTGACCTTGATTGTTTACTTCTCTCCTTATTTTTCAATTAAATCAACTTTTCCTGTTCACTAAAATACATTGATTTTCCAAATTATCCCACTTGTATTCATATACTTTTTTAACTTCTAGTTCTAACTATCTTACCGACTATATTCAGATCGATACACTAAACGTGGTACCAGCAATACTCGAGAATCTTTGCCAAGATGAAATCCCAACTAAGCATTGGGATTTATCATCATTAACGACCGTATTATGTGGAAGTGCTCCTTTGGGTAAAGAACTCATCAAACGATTTCTGGATAAATTCCCTCATGTAATTAATCTAATACAAGGTATTTGTTTTTGCCGGTTATTCCGGATTCCAAATGAACTGTGATTACTTTCTAGAGATTTTTGCTACAAGTGGCGCATGTTTTTTAGCTTAGCTAAAATATAATTATATACTGGATATACAGATACACTGATGAAGATGAAAATATTTCAGAAATTGAAGAAAAAAAGAAATCATTCTATTGAATTACTCTTCTAATTTTGATCACATTTCATCTAATTAATTCATAATAATCATTCATAATTGCAAATAGCCATAATTAATTAAATTTAATTGACAACTATTATACAGCTTTAATCTGACATATCATATCATAGCATCATCATCTTGATAAGTTTTATCAGTGTTTTATTTTCCTAATGTTCAAGATAATTACGCTTCACTTTCAGGTTACGGTATGACGGAAATAGTGGTTCTAAGTCATATAACACCGCTGAATACACCGATGGATGATGACAGTTGTTTAGGAAGTTGTGGGAAATTGCTTCCCGGTTTCGAGGCTATGGTTATAATTGGATTTTGATAACTATTCATGATTTAAAAATAGCAATTTAAACACTTAATTTCTGAATTTGACTGCAAAATAAATGTTTGAAAAGAATAAAAGGAAAAATAAAAAAGAAAACTTGAAATAAAAGATGTGAAATCTTGCACGCATTCTGCAGCTGGTTGACGAAGAGACTGGTGCAGTGCAGAACGAATCATGGAAACCTGGCGAACTCTTGTTACGATCAGAAGCCATTATGAAAGGTTATTTGAACAATGCAGAAGAAACCAAAAAAGTTATCGACAGCAACAAATGGTTACATACCGGTAATTCACTTTCCTTCATTAATCCTTTCGTATTGATTTAAATCCATTTCAACTGTTTAGAATCGAATAACTAAAAACTAAAATCAGAATACTGAAAATTGGATATAAATGTTGGCGTAAGTGACCAGACTCGAAGTGGTCAACCTTTTAGCCCAGAATATTTATCGGATTTGGTTCATTCCTAAATGTCAGAGGAATCTTGCAGTATATGATATCATTATTTCAGGTGATGTAATGTATTTTGATCCCAACGGCTTCTATTTCGTTATAGATCGAAAGAAGGATTTAATCAAGGTTAATGGTATGCAGGTGTCACCAACTGAACTGGTTCGCGACATTTCGTTCATTTTTCATTTCAATCTAATAATGCAATATTGAACATGATTATCTTTTAATTAGCCTCAATACCAAATGCTAGATTACAGTTTTATGCAAGATTTCAGGAAGATATCTTGAAATGTCACGAGAATGTCAGTGATGCAGTTGTTGTAGGTATTCCGGATAAGGATCATGGACAGGTCGTTGTAGTTTCCATAAAACTCCAAATATTAATTCATGGCTATATTATACAACTTTTAGAAAAATTTCAATTAAAACTAAAGCGAGACGTTAAATTAACAAAGTTTGCATTTGAATGAAAAATAAAAATAAACAACAAAAACAATTTAAAGTTTAAATACGAACTGTGATTTTTTTGATAAATTAGAAGACTTTATTAGAATGAATGATGGAAAATATGACAAACAAAAATGACAAAATATTAGCCAAACGAATCGATCGTAAATGAACCCATTTGTCAGGTTCCAAAAGCATTTGTTGTACTGGTGAATAATGAAACAGCTGATCATCAATCCGGAGAACTTATTAAATACGTAAATGGTTCGAAACTTTTTTAATATCAAATTGAAATTTCAATACGAAAAGGACACAGAAACAGAGAAATTCATTCCATTGTCAAAATGCTTTCTACAATAAATACATGAATTTTAAATATCTAACATTCAATTCATAGGACTTTTGCGCCTAAGTTTGATCCACTTCAAGCATGGATATGATCTTATCAAGACTTGCTTATTGTGTGGCTTAACTAAAATAGAGATATCCATGTCTAATGTATTAATTTTCTGTAACTTTATTTTTCTTCCAGTTAATTAATTTAGACTGATCTCTACCACTTAAACTATTGCAGACCGAATAGCGCCATATAAGCAACTACGTGGTGGTATACAGATAGTACGTGGATTGCCAAAGACGCCAAATGGCAAAATATCACGAAGAGACTTACTGAACATTGAATTTTAACAGTTATGAAAATTGTATGATAAAAGTTTCGGTGTGGAATTTGATAAAAGTTTTAAAAAGATATATCTCAGTTATGAATAATAGCTCTATTAAAAATAGGGACATGTACACTGTTTAAAAGTATATTATCGAAATCTCAGTCCTAAAATTACTTAACCTTAATTCGAACATACTTCTTTATTTTTCAATCCTTTGATAAATCATAAGGTTTTCAGATGATTTTTTTGGCAACCTATTTAATACATTAGCAAATAATTTAAATTAAAATTGCATATTTGAACAAAACCGAAAATTACTTTTAAAAAAAGTTTCATCATTTCAAAGCTCATTGTTTAGTCAGTTATCATTTTTGGCAGTCTGTTTAATATATTCGATCAAAGTCTATTTTTCTTATCTCTCATATTTTACATAAATTTTTGTAATCCATAGATTTGAGCATAATAATAATTTCCAATATTTAATTATCATAAGAAGGAAGCATTTTTTTGTGAATAGTTGTGATTGCATTAAACTCATAAAATATTTTCAAATTAAAAAAATTTCTTTCAAAAATTAAATCTTTAAAAGAGAAAGTAAAGTAAAGTATTTTAGATTGAGTGATGTCGTGGTACTCAAAAATTTATGTATTTGTTCGAAACTATCGCAAAAAGCATCCCTTTCGAGGATTCTTTCTAAATTTATCTCTAAATGCGCTCCTTCTCATGCAACTTCTCATTTTCATTTATTCGTATCTTCCTTATATTCTTTTTCTGAACAAAAAAAAAAAACATTTTAAGCGAAGATTTCACTTTTTTCAATAGCTAAAATAAAATAATCCATTATCTCTTCAATAGCTTTCAGTAATTTTGATAATGAAACTAATCTTTCTTTTTTTTAGAATTATTCAAAAGCAAAGCAAATACTTCCGACATAATTCTTAGTTTTTCAGCCTCTTTTTTTAAAAAAAAAAAAGTAATGAAGGAAATTAATTAATATTGTATCTTAGATCATTACACACGGAAATTAATTAATTAATACTGTATCTTAGATCTGTATCTTTAGAAAAATGCAAAAATTTCTTATTATAATTATCCAAAATTTGAAGCAAACCTAAAATGATGAAATAATTTTGAAAGAATAAATAAAAGAAAGATAGCTATTGCAGATACTACGTATATACATGGATCACTTGTTTTCAATTCCTAACAAATACCACTCAGATTACAATCTATCTAATTGTTTTCAATGTAATTCTCTTCATGATGCTTTGGTCACTTGTAATGTCAATTGTCACACCAACTGCACGAGTACCCATTCAGTACTTTGTATGCAATTTTCAATCAATATATTTTCAAATTATTCCTTATTACTGAATAGATTTTTTTTTTTTATTATGAAACTGTTTGCTTTATTGCTTCAAATAATAATTCAAATAATAACAGTTAACTGAAAATGTTAAATTAAATTTAAGAACTTTAAAATTTAATACTTTGCCCAACATATGGATGGTTTGAATTTAATTAATAGTTTTGAAATAATTAAGAAATGTAAATGTTTGTTGCAAAATATTTTTTTAGCATTTTAAAAGAATGCAATTTCAATCAATAAATTATTGATAATTTTACATTTTCAAATGTATATCTTTGACTTCCTGTCGTATAGCATAATATTCACAAATTATATTGAATAGTTAACTTGTCAAAAAGCAATGTTGCATGAGAAAATAAAGCATAAAAGTAAATATAACTTAGATGATTGTAGTATTTTGAGACAATTTTGCACGATAATTTTAGAAAGATTAAATCACATTTAGACTGATAAAGAAACGGATGAGAGGATAAAAGCAGTGACACCTTTCAAGGAGGATCGATATCTTCCGGATACATCTACTAATGAGCAGATACAAAATCAATCTAATATATTGAATAGTTTTGCTGAAAATAAAGGATTACGTTTCGTTGAGGTGGACAATTATAATCGTCTAAGGTATATTTACTTTTATGCTTATTTGTTTTTCTCAAATTGAAAAACCCAATTTTTTTTTAAACAGTTGAAAAAAAATTCTATTGATAAAAATTAAAAATTAAAAGTGATAGGTAATTTCGATATAAAAAGATACAAGATTAGCTTCTATCAACCATTTCTTTCCTTTAGAAGGTCAAAAAAGTTTATGAAAATACTGTATAAGTGGAAAATGTTAAGAAAGGAAATCATCAGAGCATATATCTTTCCTGTGGTAATTATTCTTGTCAATTAAACATTTTCAATGTGTATTTTAAATATTAAAATTCAGTAAAACTAAATTTTGTTAAAACTTTTATGTCATTTACAAGATATTGCTATCAATGTTCGCTTATCAAACCTGATCGAAGTCATCATTGCTCATCGTGTGGTTTCTGTGTCGTTAAGTATGATCATCATTGCCCATGGATCAACAAATGTGTCTCATTCAATAATTACAAATATTTCATGCTTTATCTAATCTATAGTTGCATCTTATTAGCCTGGTCTGTCATTTCATCATTATCAATTACTTTAATATATTTATGTTATTCTTTAAAAAAAAAAAGAAAAAAAAGGAAATTAAAGGGTTAATATTTCCAAAATTTGCATTTAAAAAAAAATAATAAAGCATCAATTATTATTATTAATACTTTTTTCCTTTATTTTTGTTTTATTTTGCTCATTGAATTTTGTATTTCTATTGAAACTTTTATGTAAGAATTAAAATTTTCACAATCAAAATATAATGAAAATGTTTAGGGCATTGTTGACAAGCATAGAATGTATCATTCGTTATTTTGTGCGACAACAATGGACCGAACAAATTGTTAATTTTATTTGTGTCTTTTTATGTGTCATTTTATTTGCTATTTTTGGTTATTATCCACTTGGAGAGCTTCTCATTTATCATATACGACTTGCAACACTTAATGAAACCACTTGTGAACAAGCAAAACCACCAAATATTCGGTAATTAAATGAATTTCGAAATATAAAATTATACATTTGGTAGGATGAAAGCAAAAAAAAAAGAAGGAATAATTTTGATGTGTGTTAGGTTAATGTTTTTTTGTCGAATATTTTTTTTGTATTTCAGATTTCGAATTGATATGAATGAATTTGAATTTTGAAACAAAATTCTAAATGATTATCTTATCCATTAACATATATTCATCCTTTAAAGTTTATAGATGAAAAGTTAAATTTAAAAAAAATAATTTGATGTATGATAATTTGCATGCTTAGCGTAAAAATTATAGCAAAGCTTTTAATTTAATGAAAGTAAAGAAGCCAAAACCAAAGTATCACGGAATATGAAAAGTTCCATAACCTTTTACAGTTCCAAAGTTTAAGTAAGAAATTTCTGGCTCATAGCAATGCTCGCTCAATCTTGTTTATTGATCCTACTGTATCACAGTTATTCCTATCTTCGGCTTTTCTCCTCTCTTTCCCGAATCTGTTTCAGGGAATAGAATAAGCTCATTCTTTGGACAAGAAATATTAGCTTAGTTTAAATTTGGAAATTGAAATCAGAATCCAATAAATATTTCAGCGGGGATTCAAATGCCGATTATAATATGGGAACATATCGCAATTTGCGTGCTGTATTCGGTTGGGGTTTATGGGCATTTCCGGTTGATTCTCATATAGGTGACGGGATACACTTTCCCATCTGTTATTCCGAACGATCAGCAGCTTGTACTGAAATACGATACGGCGTATACAGAGAAGATGAACAGAACAAAAGTTGTGAGCATCATTTCTGAACAGTCCCGCAGATGATCCAACTGTGACAATTGCGCTCCAGACAACTCAATATGTTTTTATGTTTCATGTCTTTGTTTGGCATAAATTTCCAACAGTTTGACATTTCAATTCCGAACTTTTGATCAGTGCATATTTGAGCAATACTAATGATAGTAATGTAACAAAAGAAATTTCCGATTTAATTGCGCTATTTTTGAATTTCGCTATTTGCTATAAAATCCTTTAATAATGTCGGATGAATATTATGACCTTTAAGTAATGTAGGATCGATATTATAACCTTTAAGTAATATAAAGATCGATATTATGACCTTTAAGTAATGCTGGATGGATATTATAACTTTCGTTTTCATTACTGTCTATTTTATGATTATGTTACAAAAATGAGTATCAAAATGAAACAAATGGTATAAAATAAAGGAATGGAGATAGAGGGACACATTAACCATTCATTATGTTTTGTCACATATACTCATTATAAACATGATGACAAATAGACAAATGACAAATGATGAGGATAAAAATTAATGAATGCACTAAAATTTGTCAAGCGATAGATCCGAAACTTTCGATTCACATGTTACTCTTAAAATACACAATTGCCCTGAAATTGTCATCTTAAATTGGCAAAGATTAATGATGAAATATACTTCAATGGCGAATTTTGAGACAACAATAATGTGATAAGCTTGCTGGCTTATCAGTTTTAAATTAATTTCCTACTTGATGAGACGAAAAGTTGGAGCCAGTGAAGATACAGAAAATTTCGATACAGTATCAATGGTCGCAGTGTTTGTATTTTTGACTATCTAATCAATTTTCTTTTTCAACTTGATTTTTCATTTCTTTTCATTAGAATTTTTTACATGAATGATATTGTAATACAATGATAATCGCATAATCGATCAAAGATTTATAAAAAAAAATTTTACCTCTAAAAAGGCAGAAAATGTAAAGTAAAATTTGTACAACAAGATATAAAAACTTTTAATTTATTAAATTTCCAACTATTTTTCTTGTCTTCCTAATTAATTACTAAATTTTTAAGCAATTAAAACGAATGCAATGTTTTCGATTATTCAAGGTAAACAGATTTCTGCTACACACAAAGAAACAACAATGTGAGAGATAGAAAAATGATATGCTAATTAGTCTGAGGTTATTAATCAACTATTAGATTGATGGATTAGAACTAAATCATTCAGTTAATTAGTATCATTTTTAATGACCTTAATTACAGATATGAAAATCCATGGATTTTATATTTTTGGAATAATTCAAATTCACCATATACAATGTTAATAAATTAATTGCAATAAAAATATCAAATGCAAATGCAAAAAAAAAAGAAATCTCTAACATTATCAAGCAGAAAATTTTTTAATTAAAATTTTCACTTTAATATTTGAGCTAACAATTTTCATTTTTGCATTTTTCTTCAACTCTTTATCAGATTTAGCCTTCAAAGTAATTGCTTATGCAAAATGTCGACAGGCAATTAATTAATTCCATACTTTAAAAGGTGGAAGAAAAAAGGTTTGGCATACGATAATAATTAGTTCAATTACTAAGTGGAAAATTTATTCCAATGCGGAAAGCTTGTCGCAATCAAACAACACAACACATGTATGCTTTTATTTGTAACGTATGAAATTGATGATTTATTTGGAAAAGAGAAAATGAAAATTGTGACAAATGTCGTTATCGATTCTCGACATTATTCTCTCGCCGATAGTATACTTCATTCAATTTATCGATTTCTCTATCTTTTCTTTCATCATTTCTATGCAAATTTTACATCGATTTAAATTATTAGCATACAAACAGAATGAATTTGCATAGCATTTGACATGCACATATTAGTTTGAGTGAGTGAGTGAGGAAGAATTGATCAAATTGAAAAACTGATTTTGATCAATTTATTAGCTAATTGATATTTAATATATTCAGCTGTTTCGCTAATTTTTTTTTTCGAAATTTTCAATCTTTCTTTTCTCTCTCTCTCTCCTCTCTCTCTCTCTCTCTCTCTCTCTCTCTCTCTCTACTC